TTTGTTAACATGTTTGCGCAAACCATGAATTTGATTCCACCATTTTTTCTTGGGAAAGATCATAAAGTTGAAGTTCACAAATTTATCAATATATTAATTAGGGTTTTCAGAAGAAAAGGTGATCATAAATTAATGGAAAATACTAAGATTAACCAGCAAGTTGCGAATGGTAACAGTATCGGCTATTAGTGGCTGGCGCATCAAATCATCCAGTTGAGTTCGGACTTTAGCAATCTCTCTTTTGGTACCGCCCAACTGTTCCCGTTGCCACTGTAAAAGCATCAGTCTTGTATTTTTAATTTTCTCCACAACCTGGAACATAGGAGTTCCGACAACATGAATATCCCACGCCTTACGAACCACGCCATCACAATCCTCATGTTTAACCCACGAGCTTTCAAAACGGAAAAAGGGGCTTGGGGCCCCGGGGGAGGTCTTGTTTATTCAAGGACACCAGTACCGGCAGATGGTCGGATTTGCTTGGAGCCAGGTGTAGCACTGTGGATTTTGGGAACAAGTTTTGCCACAGAGGGCAGGCCAAGGCACGGTCAAGCCGTTCTCTTATACCCCCCAGCCGTGAGCTGAACCATGTAAATGCGCTTCCAGAGAAGCCCAAATCATACAAATTGCAGTCTGCGGCTGCTTCCCGGAATGCCATCATTTGTCTTATTGGTCGAACATAACCACCTTCCTTTTCATGAGAGCTCATAATCTCATTGAAGTCACCCACAGATAACCATGGTAAAGTAGACTCAGTTGCCAGAAGACGAAGGAGTTGCCAAGAACGGAACTTGTCTTCAGTGGCAGGGAAGCCATAGAAGCCAGTGAATCTCCAGTGTTCCGCGTCTCCAATCCCTCCAATGAATGCGTCAATGTGGTTTAGGGAGGACGAGCGGATATGGAGATTAAATTCATCTTTCCATAGCAAACATAGGCCGCCAGATTTGCCAATAGAATCAACTGCAAAAAAATTATCAAAACCCAGTTTAAACTTCAACACATTAAAAGTAGCTGTATTGCATTTTGTTTCACATAAAAATACAACATTGGGTCCTTTTTCGTCGATAATCCGACGTAGTGCATGAACTGCCATAGGGTTCCCAAGCCCTTGGCAGTTCCAACATAACAGACTCATTGCGCTCGGCGGGACCGAGGTGCCTCAGTCGCCGCCGTTGAAGTGGTAGATGGAGTAGCATAGTGGACTCGGGATTTCTTTGGTGCCGGAAGGACCTGCACAGAGGAAAGGGTGTTGGAGTTTCTTTTACATCCACTGGTTGGAGTACCGTGAGCTGGACTCGGACGTCCCTTGTGGTTTCTTGCTCGCTTGCTGGAATGTTTGCCCTTCTTTCTTCCAGGGGCGGACCTTTCTATAATCGGCCCCAATTGAAAAGGGTCAGAGCCCAAAGAAAGATGACAGTTCACATTTTGTGTTTGAAAATGGGGCTCATCCTATGGGATTAATGTCTGCCCGGGCCCAGTAAATGCAGGTGGAGATGGGCTCCAGAAAGTAAGTGGGCCACGATTATCCATGCTGACAGGGTGAGGCCGTGGCGTAGGGGTCGAAATTGTATTGGTGTGATCGTGTGGGTCATCCACAGGAGCAGCCAAATTAAGATCCCAACCAAATAGAAAGTTTGACTTTGGTAGAGCTTCCCTGTGAGGCGTTTCACAATAGGGAGTTAATGGCAGGGGGGGCAAGTAATGATTCTCCTCATGAATTTCATTGAATTCCATAACAGTCCCTAATGATGACGTATCCATAATGGTGTTATGATTCCCACCCATGTCTGCATGTGGTAACGGTTTGGGAATGACACATTGTTTACCACCTCTCTAATAGAGGTGGGCCCCATTGTATTTGTGGGCTCTACCTCTATTAGAGAGGTGGTAGACAATGTGGTACAAAAATGTGGTAAGCCTAGCATTACCCTAAATTAATTAAATTTAAAAAGAGCCAGCCAGGGAGCAAGATGAAACAAAGAGACCCTTTCATTGGTTTTCAAAGTCACCTCTTTTTCTCTTTTCTTCTTCGTTGCCTAATGGCCATTCTAAAACAAAAGCAGATATGTGAAATATTTTGTTTAAAAAGCAAAGTCTATGGCTAGGGCTCGAATTGTACAAGAAGGAAATATTCTTGTCAGCCATCCTTATGCTAGCCAAAGGCGGATGCAGAAATTTTTCAAAGATCACTCCTGTATATTTTATCATTATAGTTTGACCTCTGTATATTTTATCAAATATCACTCCTTTCTTCTCTGCATCAATTCCTCTAATATTCTCTCTTTTGGTTCAACAATGGATCACACTTTTATCTCACTGGTTAAAATTCCAAAGATGACGAAGATCTTTTTGACAAATCTTTTGGTCTTGTGAGGAATACACTACATCTCTGTTTCACATGAAAAAAAGATATGAATAGTTTTCTGTTGAAAGAATATTTCTGTTGTGGTTAATGGCTTTTATGGTGTAAGAAGCAAGTTCTCATGGTTGTGAAGGCCAAGTCTCTCTATCTTGCTGTCCTATTTTATTCCATGAATGAGTTAAGAATAACCATTAGCTAATTATGGGGAGGGGGAACATAAATAATTACTAATCATCTTCTCCTATTTAAGGCGATATGCGGAGAAAAAACTGCGTAAATCAAATTATTCGTATTAGATTCGAGGATTAGCATTTTTGAACATCAGAACATCCAGTGTACTATCTGTTAATTTCTGAGCAGTTTGTTCATTTGTTTCCTCAAAAGACTATTACAAGTAACTACTAATTTAGCTCTCTTAAGGTGCATACAGGTACAAACTGACCCAAATAATAAATAAATTCATGGGAAATTAAGATGTTTGATTTTTACAGTCAAGTTCAAGGCTCCAATAATGCACATCTGTATATATTGGACCTTCTCAGGCAATCATAGGCTCTGAGCATGAGGACTGGCAAGCAATTCTGATCATTGCTCCATAAAAAAGTTCAAAAACTATATATATTTCACATGCAAATTTTCAGGTGCATGTAATTTCTGAATTATAGTAAATACTTATCCATAAACTTTTGGATTTCATCTTTAAAAATAATATGGTCACATATTCTTACAATGCTCATGCTTCTGTATATTTCATCCAAACAGAGATAAAATTCATCCACTGATTAATTGAACCTATTGCAGCTGAATTAATTGCAGGGTAACTCTTGTCTTAATGAAATTACCTGGGGGGTTTAAGATGGACAACAAATAAAAGACCAAACACAAAAGATAAACAACATGTTGGATTTTTCCAATATCAGGAAAGGTTCTGGGATTTTTCTAATGGGAACCAGTTTAGGGCAAGGCATCCATTTTGCTGCTAGATGCCTCAGTCTTTTTCTGATGTGAAAATTATAGTAGCTGATAGTACTGTAGTACGGTTCTCTTTGATTTTCGAACTGGTCTGAGTTCCTTGGAAATGCATGTTTTAAGCCGCATAACTTGGAAAGAAAAGTGCAGAGAAGGGTTTAGGGATCTTGCTCTGCTCCACTTCATGTCAGCTGGTGCAAGTGGGCAGGGCAACTATTTTTGCTATCAACTTTAAGAGAAGAATTCAATCCTTTCTTTAGCCAAATTTTTATGGCCAACTTTTGCACTTTGGTTGCCTCTGCAGATTGCGTGAATGAATGTTAGATGCACGAGTTCAACTCAGAATTTCAAATGCTTGGAAAGCCTTAGCCTTTGATGCAGCAGCAAACACCTTTGGTGTAAGATTGCCTAATAAGTTAAAAGAACATGTAATTTGAAATTTTACAAAAGCATGTCCCTTTTTTTTTTTTTTTTTTTTTTTGGGAATTTACCTAACAAAAGAAGATTTGGGAAAAATAGCAAAAGGGCAGGCCGCCCACAGGGATAAAAAAGCAGGGAGATGTTGCTTTTCTTTTGCTGTGAAGAGTTAAAACTGCTACAAATTTGGGATTTTTGAGTGTGCAATAAGCTTCATGATTAGGTGTAATAACTCTTGCCTTAGAAGACAGTAGAGACCAAAGACAGGTTTCTATTAACTTAAGTGTCCTGTCCACCAATGGGTTCTTCTCGTAATCTCAATTGGTCGGTGATTTTATATGTTTTATGCTGATTGATTTCTGTTGCCACTCAGCTGTTTGGTCATTTAACAACTGCACCTGTTTTTTTTTCTTTTCTTTTTTTCTCTGGTATGGAAGTTGAAACAATTAGTTACTTGACAAATGGGTCCTCTAACATCATCAACTTAGTTTTTGACCCAAACACATGCAATAAAATTGGAATTCTGTGAATGAATATCAAAGAGAATCCTTCTTCCTTTATGTTCTCTCTGTTGGTTTTCATTTGGAAATGGAAGTAATGCAAATGGGTGAGAAAGCATTGTGTTCCCTAACAAATGAGGTAATTGCTCGTTTTCATCACATAAATTGATCCAACCCCACAATTATTTATAGTTAAGCAACAGCAAAAAGTTGTCTTAGCGGCCAAGAATAACACGAAACTCCTTCTAGAACTAGAATTATTACCTCTGTTTTTCTTGGGTTTTCGAATTAGCATCTCTGTTTTCACTGGGCTAAAATTAAACTTGCTCTTATTAAAATCATACAAAGCAAAAACACTGTGAAAGCATCTCCGAAGATTGTTCCCAAGGAAAAAAAGAAAAAACTATTGCAGAATCTGTTTTGATTTTTCAGTTAGAAAATGATTGAACCATTGAAGAAAGCTCAAAAGTCAAAACTATTATTTTTCTCCTGCTTTTTTAAAGACTACGTTAAAGAACAGTTTTTTTAAAGACTCAACCAAACATGCCCTAATGATTTTGATCCGCCCTACAACCACAAATGCCTTTACGACCGTCCAAAATACATTTTAGTTTATTTTGAGTTTCATCTTTTTCGAATTCTAGCTCTCTCTATGTCAATAGGCTTATAATGTGTGGCAGTGTGGAAAATAAAACATATATGTATAATTCTAGTGGGCACAAAAGTTCCTCGCTTCACTAGATTCCACAGTTTATGACTCTACAGGGTAGAGACGCTACAAAAATCCCCCACCATATCTGACTATAAATTCAAGCCCACCCCTTCCACTTCTCTTTCATATTCCTCACCCATCAGTTCCCTACCTCTTAATTTCTCTCAAGCCACCCATCTGCGATTTTACCTAAACAAAAGCCTGGGTTTTGTTTAAAATCTTGTCTTTCGTCTAATTCTCATTCCACTTTTCTCCTAAGACTTCAAATTTCTTACATTTTCATCCAAATTCAAGCTCCCCTCTTTCAAACCCCTCCCCTGTTCTGCCCTTTACTCTGTTTTTTTCTTTTCTATTCAAATCCTTGTTGTGCATATCAACATGTCGTCAACATCAAGCACTGTTTGCCATCAAGGGATGAAATCATGCCTCGAGCCTCTTGTTAGGCTCAAACTGGCTCCACCCAGCTCAAATTTTCCCTCGACCTCTTGTTGGGATTGCAAGCCTGACCCTCAAGAGACAGAGGAAATATCCCACATTGAAAAAACCATCACAACCACAAACAACGACTTGAACTTGATTGACAGCAAGGACGCTGACAAGCCTGGCTGGAGCTTCCTCCAGTCTCTCGGCAACCCGAAAAATCAGACCACCAAAACAGAGACTGAAACAGAGAAAGTCTATGTCCACCCACTTGTGAAGCGCTCTGCTTTAATGCTGAGCCCAAAAAGCTTGGAAATGTGCACTGAAAGCTTAGGCAGCGAGACCGGTAGCGAAAATGGCGGTGATGACTTTTCTCTTTTTTCGCAACTTGATGCTGACATTTCTTTTCTCTCACTTGAAAGTAGTGGAAAAATTAACCCAACATGCACTCCCACTACTACTACTATTACAAGTGAGAGTTCTAAAATATCGAGTGACAATAATGTTCGAGCTTCACCAAATAGATTAAAACGTAGTGTTGCTACTAGTTTTCCTCCTCCTTTAACATCTATCAGTGGCTGCAATGGTGTTCAAGTGAGGCCTCACCGAGAAGGCGGCCGCCTAGTTTTGAAAGCCGTTACTGTCAGCTCTCCTCCAACAGCCTATTTCCAAGCCGAGCGTGGTGACGGCAGGCTCAGGCTGCTTTTGTTGAAGGACCCTTCTCCGACCTGTGACATTGAAGAAGCTGGAGAGGATGAATGCGAAGAAGAATGCGCTGTGGAAGATGATCAAGCTGTTGAGGTTGAAGAAGATGAGGTTCAAAATCAAATGGAAGCTGAAAATGAAGCTTATGATTGTGAGGAAGAAAATGGCTTTGATGTTGAAACAGAGGAAATGGATTGGAAGAGTGGAAATGTGAAAACAGAGGAGATGGATGGGAATGCTGGAAATGTTGTTGAAGCAGAGGAGATGGATGGAAATAGTGGAAATGTTGTGGGTGAAAAGGGAATGGGGAAGCTTCCAAGGCCAAGCAGATGCAAAGAAGGTCGGCGTGGGAACAAGAAGATGGTCATGAACTGGCCGGAGTCTTTTTGGGTCGCCACTTAAACACCTCCTCTTCTCTCTGTCTCTGCCTCTGTCTAATGAATATTTACTTATGATTTTCACTTAATCTCTAGATTTTTCAGTCATTAATATTTGAAGCTTCTATAAGCTTCGAATTTCTCCTCAGTATGCTAATGTTAGTTAATCGTTATTGGACATTTCCATCTCTCTCTCTCTCTCTCTCTCTCTCTCTCTCTCTTATGAATATAATTAACCTATTGTTCCCAACACATGCTTAACAGCAATTAGCAAAAGCCATGAACATTAAATAATTATTAATAATAATACAAACATGAATTAAGCTAGTTAATCAGGACAATTAGCCCGAACCTTTGCAAAGTTGGAATTTCCATTAAGCATTTGAACACACGGGGCCATACTGACAACCAAACGTGTGCAAAGTGACGTAGTTTCACCAACTACCACAATTTTAAAGCATTTTGCTGGTCCTGCTCCCAAATGCTGTTAACCAATCAAAGGGCCTAGCCATCACTTTCTATGGCTAGCATTTTGGACCATCTCTTGAAAGTGCAGTATGTACTTTGAAAACCTAATCTTCGTTTCCCATGTTCTTCCCAAGCTACTTCTCAGAATTCAAATTATATATGCTACACTTTCCTTACAAACACTGTTGAGTTCAGTATAGTAACATCATTATATATGAATCTAAAACTTAGTTATACCGATTTCATACACGAGGCTGTGTGATGTGTGACAAGTTATCCAATGCATCATATACCGATTTCATATAAAGTCGGGAAATGGTAGGGTTTTAGTTTTGTTTTATCTTACAAGTTTTTACATTTTCCGGATTCTTATACACTTATGCATCATATTTGATACCTTGTGTGGATAAAAGCATCTTTGTATTTATACCCACACACTAACCCAAAAGTGATGATATAAATTCATGTAGTTTTTTGATAACATGTACCCATAAACAAGAACTGAATGGTAGAACAACCCACATTTCCCTCATAAAATAAAATGGCATTTTCATGCAAAGGTAAGTAAATATATATGTTGCAAGTTGTGGGTACGAACGAATGAATGCCTGGTTAAGTATCATGGGGTAGGCCCCGAAAGGTAACATGGACTGACTTCATCAATGTCCATCATCCATGTGGGATCACTTTTTTCCTCTTCCATCTCATGATATTCCTTCCATCACAAGCGTACAAGAGTTGCGCTAAGTCATTGCGATCAAACATATACATGTTGCAAATTTGGCAGTAAAGTTTCTTTACAAATTCCTTGTGACGGCTAACCAATAGTTATTAGAGGTGTTTTTAGAGTACTATTAATTAATTAATTAATTATTATGGTTGATAGCAAATTGAAATCCTCCTCTACTTCTCATTTCTAGGCTATGTTAGCGCGCGTGATTAATAAAACACCTCTTTGCACGGCAGCAAAGAAGCTAAGTAATTTTGAAAGAGAGGACATAAATTATCCACTATACTCATGGGGAGTTGCGCTAAGTCATTGCGATCAAACATATACGTGATTAATAAAACATCTATTTGCACGGCAACAAGAGTTGTACGATGGGAGTGATTAGAAAGGGAAAGGAAATGAAGCTGTCAACTTTTGCACATGCAACATTCTGTTCAATATACATCATGTGCTTAATTTGAGAGCCTTTTAATTTAGATTAGATAATGGAGTGGAGGCCTTGTCAATATATTATCTCACAAGCACAACAATCAAGTCTTTGTGATCGATCACTTTCATTTTATTGTCAGTTGAAAGTAGTATTAATATCCATCCATGAAAGACACCGGCCGGCATGTTGGTGCGCAATATATAACTGCCTGCCCCAGATTTAGCCATTGATGGGTTTATAAAAATGGCTAACATCACACTCTCTCAGTCTTCATAATAATAGTCTCATACGTACCTCTTTACTGCAGATTTTTTCAGTCTTCACATGGCGCCATGGCTGGTGTTTGGCTATTGTACTAGATTGATCAAGTAGTGGTGAAAGTGAAATAATCCACCGAATTAACGCACATGGATTCAAAGTGGCCAAACTTTGGACAGCGATGGGACTGATTTTTCACCATAACTGTACTATAGTACTTGAAAAATATACAACTCATGTTGTGACTGACTAACCAAAATTGTACGTAGGTTCATATATATATATACCTTTTGAGCCCGTACTATCATTGAAAGGGATCTGACACATCCCATAATGGAGGGCCGAGATGCTCCCATGAATTCATTTCTTCCCAAATTATATATCAAAGTTATTCCTCCGCTCTCTTAATCCCCGACGACATAATTCGGTTTTTGTACTAATTACTCATATCAATAAAATACTATCGTCATTTTCTAAAAAAGTTACTCCGCCACTCTTACGATTGGTTTGATTTTTATCAATCTCATTGGCCATTGGTGTACATTTTCTTTTATGTAACGTAGAACGTATAAAATATGTCATCTATATTGTTTGTACCATATCTGATCCTCTACTCATACAACGACACGTGGATCATGGGGACTCACCCAAGTACCCAAGGCCTTGAACAATCGGTATCGGCTACCGATGGCGTTGCCTCAAAGCTACCAACAGCTGCTACAGGCCCATCTCGTCCACAATCGGTGCCCCTTACCGATTCTGCGCAATCAACCTCAAAGCACCCGCCCGAAATATCTAAGGACTCGTGTCAACCTCACAGGGCCCTCCCACGAGTCCCACATCGAAAGAAAGTACTAAGAGCATACAAAATGCCCTCTATAAATACACCCCTTCACCACAGTACAGGGGTAAGACTTTTCAGCTTGACTTATATACTGATATATTGTCAACAGCAAGAGCTCTTAGAAACCAAACTTACTTCGGCATCGGAGGGTCTTAGGCTGGTTCCACACCGGTTCCATAGACCTTACGAGTCTCGACTTCTTTCTATTCAGGATCAGCATCCAAGGACAGAAAGAATTGGCATCCAACATTCAATCGATCTCTCGATCGTCCATCTCGCTTGTAAGTTGCACTCATCTCTATCTATTCAGTTTTTAGTGCCAACATATATAGGCATTTTCGGATATATATGATGCAATTTAGTAACATCACGTGATGGTATGATCTGGTCAAAAATTACTTGCCCATCCATCCAATTGGACACAGACACAAGAAAGAGAAAGAAAGGCAAAAAGCACAAAGCCACAGAGACCTCAAATGTTGACATGTCTCCAACCTTTTTTAGCTTTTGCGTTATGTGTATTCTACTTTGTGTCTGAGCCATCTCTCGCTTTTCCTCTCAACTTGTATGCATGGGTAAGGCTGAGTTGGCCTTGTCCCTTGTGTGGTTTTGCTTTTGCACCTGAGAAAATATTACAAATATATATAAATGTTAAATAGGACCGCACCAAGCAAGTTGAGCCCTAGAAGCCCACAAATGATATATGAAGTCCACGACAGGAGACAAAGGCCCTTCCTTGGCCCTGGTCATCGATCTCATCCTGAAAATCTATGTGCCTTGCCCTTGGGAATGGGAAGATTGTAAAATTTCCCACCAATTAATTATGTGTGGTCTTCCACTCAGCAGCAATTAATGCATCGTCACCCTTCTTGTCTTGTCTTACGTGTTCAACTTCATTGCTCTCCACACCACTTGTGTCCAATATATTATTTATTTATATGCCACTCTCTTCCGTACATGCTTGCGTTGGACTTCCATGTCATCAATCTAATCCCTTTTACTCGCTCTCTCTTTCTCTATATATATATATAGAGAGAGAGAGAGAGATGGTAGCTTTAAACCAAGGCCACCAGAGTCCTTGGTGCTGTTCGATCAATCGAGATATTATATACTTGTTTGGTGGCTGAAAAACAGAAAACATTTGTTTCTGTAGACATCTTTATCACCAATATTCTAAATGACATATTGATGGTTGAGTTGGTATTGGATTTTACAACCACAGACAGAAAGTGAGAAAGGGCGGGGAGGTGGGGGAAGAGCGATGTCCACGTTAGCAATGATGAAAAGTACATACATATAAGGGAAAGCAAAAATAAAATGAAAATCCTCCTCTTAAATTAATGATTCCAAAACACCTGCAAATTGCAATGCAACTATTCGCATTTCATGCAGTGACATGCATTACTTGTATTTAAAGTTAACTCACAATCAATCAAGGTTATAAATACACAAATCCCACATTGATTTGATTATTTTTGTGTAACATATCATATCATTAATAACTATATATATATATATATATATAACCAGTGATGAGATGAGAGTGCAAGTGGTATATCTATATATGATCTTGTGAGAATATATATGGTTGACAAATGTTGAAGGGGATGATTCAGAGCAGGAGATCCACGACGGTATCAAAGGAGGACCCCACGATCCTATATGCATTTTTGGATTCTGGATATCTTAGTCTACGCTGTTTTGTTGGGTATCATAAGATTTCTCTGTCTGCTACCTAGCTTGCAATTATTTATCTCTCTCTAAAATAAAATAAAAAGATTTTCTGATCATCATTTTTGTAATATGTATGTGTCTGTCTCCAATTCGATCAATAGCCCTGGCCCACTCATACCCACCGATTATGCTAACTATAGCTATATAGCTAGGAACCCTAGCTAGTCGAGATGGACAAATCTTTGTGGCAAATCCTAGCCGTACGTCCTTGTTCCTGCCGACTAACAGACACATCAATTACCGTCAATACCAGATGATACACTAAGATTGAATTCAGGGGATTTTTTTTTCCTTTCACATTGCATGCAACATGTTTGTTCTTGATGAAGCTGATCAAATATCTGAATATATATTCATAAAACGACATTCAAATTAATGACTAGCAAGCTTTGATTTGAGTTTAAAGAATATATGATATGATTACCATGCAGAAACTTGCATGGGTGTTATTTGGGTTCTAGTATTAGCAGCTAGCTAGGTTTTTCGATGCCCAGGTTCATTCTTTTGTAACTTCAAAGGCTAAACTTGCATGCGCTATATGTTGATATTTTAGAGTCTGTATACAGCTTTGTAAGGCTTGAGAGCCTTATCGATCATGGAAAATCCTCTCTCTCTTTAACTTAAATTATAAGTTGTTTATTACAAATTCTATGTTATATATAATATAACAGAGGAGAGATAAAAATCTGAGAGAACTAGGGCCACTCCAGGCCTAGGAGTGGGAGTGGCC